CCTTGTCCTGGCAGTGCCAACTTCAGAGATGAGAGAACCGGCTGCACATGGGAGTGACTCAGCCCAGGCCACGGTGCTCCCTGGTGCCAAAGCCAGGCTGATCCAGAGCCCCCCACCCCTCCTCATGCTCCCCTCACCCAGGTCTCTGTCCCCATCCCCTTGCCTTGGGCCACACTGAGACACTCAAGAAACAGATCAAACAGTAGCGGGACCTCCCCACAAGGCGCCAGGCCCTGGGTCTTTGTTGCATGTGTTTCTGAGTCTGTCTCACACAGAAGGAAGTGCCCAGGACACCGTGGGGGTGCAGGTCAATCCCTCGGTGGGAGGAAAAGGGAGTGGGAACTGCAGCCACAAGCGGGGCTGGGTCAGACGGGGGTCCTCAGGTGAATCCAGGAGCGTCTTGGGCCGGTGCTGCAGGTGGTAGCCCCTCTGCCTGCCGGTAGGTTAGTCCGAGGCTGACTCGGCCCCGCCCGCCCTCCCCTCTCTGTCCACTGCAGCTGCCCTCGGACTTCCAGGAGCGCGTGAGCTTGCACCTGGAGCAGCACGGCTGCAGCCTGCCCTCCCCACTCTGCCGCCCGGCCTATGCCGACAGCGTGCCCGCCTGCGTCATCGCCAAGGTGCTGGAGAAGCCAGACCCCGCCAGCCTGTCCTCCCGCCTGTCGGACGCCTCCACCCGCGACCTGGCCTTCCGAGACAGGGCGGAGAAGCAGGGCCTCAGGCCCCCCTACAAGGGGGACGTCTACTGCAGTGACACGGCCCTCTACTGCCCCGAGGAGCCGCCGCGTGACCGGCGGCCCAGCGTGGACGCGTCGGTGACCGATGTGGGCTTCCTGCGGGCCCAGAACTCCACCGACAGTGCTGCTGAGGAGGAGGAGGAGGAGGCCGAGGCGGCGGCCTTCCCAGCGGCCTTTGGGCGTGAGGCCTTCCCAGGCTACGCGGGCTCGCTGCCCACCTCCAGCTCCTACTCGAGCTTCAGCGCCACGTCGGAGGAGAAGGAGCAGGGCCAGGCTGGCACGCTGGCCGCCTCGCAGCAGGCCCTCTACCTGAACAGCCGCGAGCCGCGGCTCCAGCGCCCGCCGCCTGCTGCCTACCCGGGCAGCCTGCGCTTCGCTAAGGCCACGGCTGTGGCGGCAGCTCCGCTGGAGGCCGAGGTGGCCCCGGGGTTCGCACGGACCTTGTCCCCCTATTCTGCCGAGCCCTACCGCTATCCAACCTCCCCAGGCCCCCAGCAGGCCCTGGTGCCCCCAAACCTGTGGAGCCTGCGGGCCAAGCCGGGATCAGCCCGGCTGCCCCGGGAGGACACGCGCAGCCAGTGGCGGCCCCTGAGTGTGGAGGACATTGGCGCCTACTCCTTCCCGGTGGCTGCGAGACGGGCCTCACCCTCCGACTTCCCCGAACGCTACTATGGTGGGAGCAGCCCAGGCAAGAAGGCCGAGGGCCCCGCCAGCCCTCTCTACGCCAGCTACAAGGCCGACAGCTTCTCGGAGGGTGACGACCTCTCCCAGGGCCCCCTGGCAGAGCCCTGCTTCCTCCGGGCTGGTGGCCCCACCAGCCCAAGGCCCAGCTACTCGGCCAGTGAGGGTGATGGGGAGAGGCTTGGGGGGCACCTGCGTGGGGTGGCCGACAGCCCCGAGCCCGAGCATAGCCTGCGCAGCTCCAGAGATTCCTTGGAGCCCAGCTCCATGGAGGCCTCTCCGGAGATGCACCCCGCCGCCCGCCTGAGTGCCCAGCCGGCCTTCCCGCGGACCGGGGGCTCGGGGCTGAGCCGAAAGGACAGTCTCACGAAAGCCCAGCTCTACGGAACCTTGCTCAACTGAGGGCCTGCCTGCAGGCCAAGGCCAAGGCCACGGGGTGCCAGGCCACCCACCCCGCACCCCAGGGGGCCTCCTCACCTGTCCCCAGACACCCATACCCTGGGCCCTGCCCACAGGAGCCCTCCCTTCCACTTCACCCAGTGCAGCCCGAGAAAAGGATCTCTGCCACGTGTGTCCCCCCGCCCCGCCATGACGGAGCTCACCGAGAACGTTCCTTGAACACCATCATCTCTCCCCACCTGAGATGAGCATTCCCCCCTTTTATAAAGCGAAACTATTTTTCTAGAGAAAAAGGGTCTTTCTTAACGCACTTGGCCTCCAGCCCCCTGGACAGCAGCCTTGGCGTTTCCAACACAAAGCTCCCTTCTTTTCCGGGGAAGGGCAAGTGGGGCCTGGCCCTTGGAGGGGGGAGGGCGTCTCGTGGAGACGCCCAGAGTGCCGGTGATGAGGGAACCCTGAAGCTCTCTGCACAAAGAGGGGAACTGGACAGGTGCAGGGACATGAGATGTTCTCAGCTGTTTCCGTGTGGCTGGCACAGTGCCCCCAGCTCTCCCGAGGTCCGTCGTCCCAAGTGGGGCCGGTGCTCGCCCCCCAGCCCCCGCCCCCCAGTCCCCCCTCGCTCTACCTCAGACGCGATGAGGCCCTCCGACTCCCGTTCCTGTGGCTTGCTTCCCTGTCGTCTGCGATGCATGCCGTCTGTTGGTACTGTATTTTACACTCACTAATAAAAGACATCGGTGGGAAGCTTGGGTCCGAGTTGTTCCTTCTCCCCACTGCCTCCTGACCTCCGGGACCTGTGGCCCTGGTGACCCCCCACCCGCCTGCACCGACAGCTGTTGCCCATCAGAACTCTCCACCAAGCTGCGAGGCATCACCGCTGCCCTGCGCCCCCTGCCGGCAGCCCCATTCCAGCCTGCACCTCAGACGTCCCTCGAGCCCGGGTTTCCCAGCATTCCCTCACCGTGCCTCTGCTGGTGACCCCCCATTTTCACTTCTCTGAAGATGCCTGTCCCGCCCATGTCTGGGGAGAATACACGGGGGATGCTGTTTGGGCTGCCCGCCCCCCGGGAGCTGTGCCTTGGCTGGTCATCTGCCCCTTCGCTCTGCCACCTAAGACCTTCCCTTTGGCGCAGGCTCTCTGCCGCTTCCCCAAGGTGCGTCTGGTTGTGGACTTGTCCTCCTCAAGAGTTCACAGGGAGTCCGTGTCTACGGGTCGGTGCGTCCCGTCCGCTCTGGAGAATTCTCTATTAGCCCTCCCTCTCCCTTCGCTCCTCCTTGCGGTGCCCTCCGCCTGGCGCCCTCGGCCGGCCCACGCGCTCAGTCTGCGTCTGCGTCCTCACCGCGTCTCTCCTGCGGCTCCACCCAGCTGCCCGACACAGCCACAGGTGTTCAGTTTGAGTTACAAATCAGTTTGAGACATTCCCATGTCTGCAAGTTCTGTCTGATTGTTCTGCAAATCTGCTAAGAGTTTCCCATTCCCTGGAGCGATTTCCATGCCTATCTTCATCTCCTTGGACACAGTGGGCACAGCGGCCGGCCCCCCAGGTACTTCTGCCTCGCGGCACCTGCGTGGGTGCGCCCCTTGGGGCTCCCGCCACACTGCCTCGTCTCTCTGTGCACCTGTAATGCCCTGAGCATGTACCTGTGGCACTTCCCACTGGGGACCACCTCGGCCCAGCACATGCCCTGAAGTTCCCTCACCCACCCAGCTTCGTGTCTCCTGGGTCTGTTTCTCGCCAGGCAACCCCAAGTTGGGGTAGGGGGGGTCCTTGGCTGTGGTTCCCAGCCCTGAGCTACCCTCTGCAGAGGAGGCCAGAGCTGTCCCAGCTGCCCTCCCCTAGGGGCAGATCTGCCCAGAAAGCAGCCCACCCCGCCTCACTCCAGGGCCCGAAGAGCTGTGCAGAAGCTCAGAAGCCCACTCCTCTCCCTGGGGCCACTTCCCTACTGGCAGATGGACAGTGACCCTTGCTGATGTACGAGGCAACTGGGAGGGTGGGGGGAGCACCTGCCTTGGCTCCCAGTGGCTGCTCTCTCAGAGGCCTCCCCGGGGAGCCTGAGCCTCCCAGCCCCCCACCCCCATTCCAGCCACGCAACTGCACAGGAACCTCAAGGGCTATGCAGCCTCGGCCCAGAGGCCCCTATACATTTAGGCTCTAGCCCTACATTGTCACCTCAGAGCCCAAGGCACCCCCAGATGGACTGCAGACCCCACAGAGCTGTCCTGCCAGGGCCTCCAAAGCCAGCCACAGCTGGTGGGAGATGCCCTCCTCCAACCCCCGCCCCCTCCACTTGGAGCCCTGGCGCACCCAGGGGGCCCCACCTACCCACGTACTCGCTCCTTCCCACCCCAGTGCAGAGTGGACACTGCCACCAGCTGTGTGACTTTGGGCAAGTTCCCCCTCTGGCGCTTGAAGACAGGGACCCCCAGGAAGCCCCACACAGGTGACAGTTCCATGCAGAGCTCCAGGCTGGACTGTGGGGCCCCAAGGGAGGGCAAGGGCACAGGCTTTAGAGTCAGACAGCCCTGGGCTCGTCCCTCTGCCTCCTGAGTGCCGGTTCCCTGAGCCGGACAGCGGGGACCACGCCCACCTCGCTGGGTGCTGCATGAGCTCCACACGCTACGGTCAAGTGCGGGCCGGGCAGCACCCACAACCACGCTGGCATCTCCAGGCAACAGGTCCGTCCCCCATGACAGACTCCGACCAGCAGCTCAGGTGAACAGGTGAGGCGCAGGCAGGCACGCAGCCCGAGAAGGGGGATGCAGGCGCAGCTCACACTTCTTCTCCATCCCTGCTCCACACTTTCTAAATTTAGCTTTCTTGCTTTAAAATTGCAAGTGGTGAACCCCCCACCTCCCTGTAGAGGATCAGAGGGAACTTCTAAGAATGCTCTTGGGAAGAGAGCATTTGGAAAGAGTGCAATTGGGGCGGAGAACACTCCGCCCATTCTTCCCAGTACAGTCACTTCCCAAAGGGGGCTGGAAGGCAGCTGGCACCTCCAGGGCATGGAGCTGGTGGAACCCTGAGAAGTGGTGCTGACGGCCCCCGGGGCTTCTGGGGACCCCCACGTATCTCTCTACCCGAGGGCCGTGGGGCCCAGCATGGAGAAGCAGGTGCCCACTACTCCTGCAGCTCCGTCCCATCCACCCTCACCCACCCCTGGGCCTCTCCTCAGGTCCTCTGCCCCCTCACCAGCTCACAGTCTGCCTCCTCCAGGAAGCCTTCCAAGACTGTGGGAACCCTCTGTGCTGAGCCACAGCTCCTGCGGTCCCCTGGCCCTGGGCTTTTGGGCCGCCCCTCAGTCACAGTCCTAGATGAGTGCTCAGCCTGCTACCGCCACAGCCCAGCAGCAGGGTCTTCCCGACCAGACTCCTTGAAGTTCCCCCGCATCGTCCAGGTGCTTGGGCGGACACGCTCTCGTGGACAGTGTGCACGTCTGACAGGGCTGGATGGACAGGACCAGCTGGCCGCACCTGTGCAGAGGGGCCACGGGCCCGTGATGCTGGAGGGCCTGTCACACTCTGGCAGAGAGTTTCTGGGGACAGCCCCTCACCCTGGAGTGCCCCCACGTCCCCAGGAACCCATCGTCAGGGCCTGAAGGTGGGCTTGCCCCTTCCCTGGCTCCCGGCATTCCCACCACGGGGCCACGGTGGCCACAAACTGGGCAGCGGAGGAACTGCTGACACAGCCACCACCGAAGCCACCTGGGCAACAGTGCAGTCTCACGTTTACTGTGGTTGCAGGCAGCGCACCTGCACTCCCGCGCACGCAGCCCTCAGTCCCGACACCGGGGCTCTCGTCCCCATTTCACAGACAGGGAAACTGAGGGGTGCGGCGGGGGCAGCTTCCAGCCGGGTCTGACCTGAAGCCGACCTCAAGTCAGTCCCACCCACTCCCCAAGAAGGGCGGCCGGGTGGCAACGTCCGGAAGGCTGCGCCCCAGAGGCTCAGTGCCAGATCTTAATGTCACCCTCCCAGGAGCAAGTGGCGAGGACGGAGGGCAGGACGGGGTGGAAGGTGGCGCCCACGCAGGCCTGCGTGTGCCCGTGCAGCGTGCGCGCGCGGCTGGCCGTGCGGAAGCAGTAGAGCAGGACCCGGCCGTCGGCGCTGCCCGTCACCAGCAGGTCGCCGTCTGGGGAGCACTCGCAGCCCACCGAGTAGCCTTCCACCTGCGGAGAGTGACACGGGTGAGCAGCCCTGACGCAGCCTCATCCGGGAGCTGGGGGTCACGAGGTCCAGTCTGCAGAGGGGCAGGCTGAGGCGGACGGCCTCATGAGGCCGCCTCGGTGCAGTCCAGTCCCAGCACAGCGGACAGCGTTCAGCCTGCCGACAGCCACCGAGCCCCAGGCCCCGCCCCCACCCCCAGGACACATCTACACGAGCTAACAAAACAGAAGACCCGTTCCTGCCCAGCACCGGGGCCGGGGGCAGGGCCGCCTAGGGCCCGGGGCCTTGAGTGGACACCAGGCCACACGTGCATGCTGTCACCTGGGAAGCGGAGACAGAATCTGCCGCAGGGAGGGCCCGTGCACCCTGGGGCCCCACGTCCACCGCGGTCTGGAAGGGGCTCTGGGGCCCATGCTCAGCCCTCCCCGGAAGAGACAGGGAAGCGGTACCTTGTGTCCTTCGTAGCGCCGCCTTCCGCTCATCCGGTAGGGCCACACCGCGGAGAAGAGGGCCAGGTAGTTGCCATTGGTCTGCGCCAGGAACACAGGCTCCCTCGGGTGCAAGGCCAGGCTGGGGCAGGTGTATCTCTCCTGAGAAACGCCAGGGCCACAGGTAGGGTGAAGGACGCTCCAGGCCGGGCCTGCCACCCCGAGAACATGTCCCCCCAACCCTGCACTCTGCTCAGGGACCTTGGGCCCTCCTCCCGGACCTTAGTGTACGGGTCGGTGAGTTTCCTGTTGCTGCTGCAACAAACTGCCACACATTTAGCGGCTTAAAACAACACAGACTTGTGCCCCTATAGGGCTGCAGTTCTCACTGGGCTACCAAGGTGCCCGCAGAGCTGTGCTCCCTGGGGGTCTCCGGGCCCCCGTGGTGGGCTGAAAAGGGACCCCGGAGACAGACCACATTTTAATTCCTGGGGCCTGGGAATGCCTCCTTGTACGTCTTTGAAGATGTAATTAAGGATCCTGGTGGGGGAAATGATCTTGTTGCTGCCTCAGTGTGGCCGCAGGCGCCCTTACAGAGGGAGGCACCCGGAGAGGAGACCACAGGGGCAGGGTGAACAGGAGCAGAGCCACGGGAAGACCCTGGCGTGCAGGTGGCAGGGCGTGCAGCCAGTGCCACCAGCGTCTCTGGAGGGGGCAGGCCCTCCCGACACCGCACTTCAGGCCCGTCTCCCCACTTCCACGGGGGCCCTGGGGGCAGCAGAGCCCAGGGCCCCACACGGCCAAAACGCACAGTGAGAGAGGCAGCACGTGACCGGGTGAGAAGATGGGCGGGAGAACAGTGTTCGGAACCCAGGTGGACACACCTCTCGGTCTGATGGGCTCAGGCACAGAGGCGCCCCATAGACTCCCTTCCCAACCACACCTGTCCTTTCGCGCTCCTAGACTTGTCCTTCAGTTGCCTCCGCGTGAGCCCCAACTCCGAGGGAACAGTCAGACTCGTGCCCACCAGAGGCATGGATGCCACGGTGGCCCCACCGCGGCTCCCCAGCACGATGCTGCCAGGCAGGGCACCTGCTCGCCCGCACAGACGAGAAGTGGGTGCGGTTCTAGGAGGGCGGACGGCTCAGGCAGGTAGCTCTCTGTCCGCCTCCCTCGCTCGCTCCACCCTCCACTGGGGCTGACGGACGCAGGAAGCCTGGGTGGTCAGGCACGCCCACCCAACCAGTCCAGGGCCTGTCCTTCCTGGGGGCTGCACTAGGTCCTGAAGGTCTAGAGGCAGGTTTGCTCAGGGTCACTTAGAACCCTCTGAAAACAAGGGGAAATGGGGAGAGGGAGGAGGTATGCACCTGATACATATTTAAAATTCAGGTGGAGACACCAAAGAAATCAGCCATGGCTCATTTGGAATTGTGAAAGATGATGGTGGTGGTGGTGATGGTGATGGTGGTGGTGGTGGAGGTGGTCGTGGTGGTGATGGTGGTGGTGGTGATGGTGGTGGTGGTGGTGGTGGTGATGGTGGTGGTGATGGTGGTGGTGGTGATGGTGGTGGTGGTGATGGTGGTGGTGGTGGTGGTGATGGTGATGGTGGAGGTGGTGGTGGTGGAGGAGACAACAGGTAATGCATTTATGGAACACTCTCTGTGCCTGGCACTGTTCTACACCCTTTCAACTCTCAAAACCACTCTTTGAGACAAATAATATTCTCATACTAAACTTTCTAAGAGGAAAATGAGAATCAAATGGCTAAATAATGGTCCCAGAGCCCCCAGCTTGTCAGTGACAAACCCAGGGCCATAACTGAGGTGCTCTAACTCCAGGGTCTCTGCTTGAACTCCGGGGCCGCAGCCCTTGCCACAGCTGCTCCATAACGGCGCTGTGGACTCCCGTGGGCTGGCTGGGCTGGCAGAGGGGAGGAGCGCCTCGGGCTGCCGGGCCGTCCACCAGTCCACCCGGACTGGCTGCACCCCTCAACCCTGAGCTGATGTCCATGCTGGGTGGGGACGAGTGGGAGGATGGTGAGGGAGTGACTGTAACATGAAGCCTGGCAAGGCATCCCCTGTGCCTCACAAGAGCCTTCCCCATCCTGAGAGACTCCAGGCAGTCGGTGTTCCCAAAGATCCTGCCTGCAGAACCGCCTCCCGCAGGAAGTGACCCAGGACCCCAGACAACCTAGGGCTACATGGGCATGTCCTGGGCTGAAACTGAAAGTGATTTCGCATGCGGTTCTCACATGGAAAATCTGGTTGGAGATTTTGGCAGAGCTCCGGAAATCCCAGGCGATGATGGTGCGGTCAGCAGAGTCTCGGCTCGAAGCATCTGTGCTGCTCAGAAACTCGGAGCCTTCCCGGAGGAAGAGGATGTCCAAGGTCTGCTGGATGGTCGCCTTGTAGCTCCTCACCACCTGCGAGAGTGGGCAGTGGTCAGGCTGGGGCCCCAGGAGTCTGGGTCAGACCCCCACAGGGATGCAGGGAGGGCAGGGTGAGTGAGCAGGGCGGGCGAGGTGTCCCTGGCTGAGCAGCCCAAGTCGGGGCACTGGGCACTGGGGCTGCTGCACGGAGACCTCAGGGCCTCGGGCCCCACCAGGCCAAGGTCTGTCTGCCCAGGGTCCTGCCCTGTAATACCACCCACAGCCTTTCCTCGTGGCACCTCCTCACAGAGAGCCCCACGGCCACCCCCACCCCCACTGGTGCTAGAAGCAGGTGTCCCTGGAGACCACAAAGCCAGCACCACAGTGCGCAGGTGAGCTTTGAAGGCCTCTGTCTGTTTCTTAGCATCATGGCCGATATTCCAAAGCCTCCCGCCTCGTGGCTGAGGGAAACTGCTGTGGCCGAGTGTCCAGCAGTTGCTCTGCTTCCTTCGGAGCGCTGTATCACATTCACCTGCCATTCCCAGACAGCTGGTTTGGCTGCGGCAGGTGCAGGGCAGGGCAGGCAGGGGCTCCAGTACCAGGACTAACGAGACCCACCACTTAACAAATTCACGGACGGCTGGACTTTCGACTGCCAGGCTGAGTCAGGGCGCGGCGCCTGGGGCCACCTGCTACCCTCCCTACCTGTTTCGCAGCTCCCGGGTGCCACCACGCAGCCACAGCATGAACCATCTGAGTCACCTCGGCCTGGGGCTGAGCCCTCTTGACAAGTTTTTTAAAAACTGGAGTTCAAGCCCTGGCTGGTGTAGCTCAGTGGATTGAGTGCGGGCCTGCGAACCAGACAGTCGCGGTTCAATTCCCAGTCAGGGCACATACCGGGTTACAGGCTGGTTCCCTGCAGGCCAGTTCCCAGCAGGGGACGCACAAAGGCAACCATACATTGATGTTTCTCTCCCTCTCTCCTTCCCTTCCCCTCTACAGATAAATAAAATCTTAAAAAAAAAAACCAAGTTCACACAGCTTTTCGAGTGTCGCAGAGTTTTGTTTTTATTCTCTATCACCCTCTTTCAAATGTGCACATGTCAAATTCCCATTCAATCAGGGCTCCACAGAGACAATCTAGGGGCGGATCCGGAGACCCATTCCACAGATGAGCAACACCAGGGCTCAGTGGTCTGCAGGGAGTCACCACAGTCACAGGGCCAGGGGTGGTGGAACTTCTCCCGGCCCTGGCCATAGCCGAGGCCCACAGCCCAGTCGCCTGCCACCCAGCTCCTGCCTCATTAACCACAGGGACAAATTCCTGGGGCAGGTGAGCCCCAAGTGACTGCTCTTCTCTGAGCCTCTGCAGAAGTAGCCCCTGAGGAGGGCAACTTCTGGGCGGGCCCGAGGCTTGAGAGATGAGCTGCTGGCCGGCAACCCCCAGTGCACCGGACCCTCCCTCTTACCAGGTGGGGATAGAAGGGCAGCCCTGGACCCGGCCAGGCAGGCACAGCGGCTGCACTGCACCAGGAGGCTCCGGTCTGCCAAGTCTGGAGCTGGGACAGCAGCCTAGGGCCCGGGAGGGGCCATAGCATCCCCGACATCTACTCTGATGAGCTCACAAGGCCTTCCAACTCACGTGGACATCCCAAGTGCCATCCCAAGGTGATATTTAGAATCTACTTTGGAGAGAAGGAGGGGGAGGGGAGGGACGATGGGGAAGGGCCCATCATCTTGGCTCTGAAGTAGCCTCTTTTCCAGGTCCAGATCCATCCGCTCCTCCTACCCACCCCCCACCACTCCCCTCTCCCCACCCCTATGCCACTTCCCCACCAGCCGCCCCATGCCTGCACTTGCCTCGGCTGCCTGCACTTGCCTGGACGCCTGCCTGCCTGCCTGCCTCTCTGGCTGAAGCTCTCTCCATCACCGAGGGTCAGGCTAGGAGCAGGGAAGGAAAGGCTGCAGCGCAGCACAGCCAAGAAAGGGTTAAGCCTGGCCCAGCCCGTGTCCCTGGACGTGGCCCAGCGATGGGGACACACGGCAGCACCGAAGCCCCACCAGCCCACAGGGAAAGGCTGCTCGTGGGCTCCCACGTGTGCCCACACAGCTGTCGGCCCCGCGGGCAGGTTCGGGCCTCAGCTCCTCGGCACTGCGATTCCCACTGGCTCCCAGGACACGCACCGGCCCAAGGAGGTGGAGGGAAGAGGGGGCCACTCACCAAGTGCCCACCAAATGCCAGCCACTAGCCGGGGATTCACATAAACCGTCTCCCGATCCGATAAGACAACGGTGGGAGGCCGCCGCACCCTGGGTCCATGGCCTGCCCGCCCGCCCCAGAACTGCCTGTGCATCCCACCAACATGCCTCTCGCCTCCCACGACCGACTTTTTAGGAGAACGAGAACCGCTGCTCTGTACCTTTCCTGCAAATTCATGGAAACGGCCCAATTCATTAGGGTGTCATAAAATTGAATGGCCGGGAAACAGCCGTGTTACAGACGACCCTTGCCAATAAGGCTGCTGCAGGTGGAAGGATGACCTTTGAAGCGGTCGCCCGGAACGTGATTTGCCAGCCTCCGCAACCGCCCGCGCCCAGGAAAGAGCAGAGCAGCCAGCCATCCGCGCGTCTGGCGGCGGGTTTTACAGCGACCTTAATTACACCAACAGCTGGCGCGTCCCCTCCCAGGGGTGTGGGCCGGCGCTGCGCGGGCCTAACTAGCTGGATCCAGACGGGAGCCTCCCCGGGCTCTCCTGGCAACCGGGGGCCTCAGCTGGGGAGGCAGCTACTTGGCCAAATGCAGGCCACGGCTTCAGGGAAAGTGGACGGTGTGACCCTGTCACACCCAGTTGTGATGAAAACCCCCTGATGTCCTGAGAATTGGCCACCTGTGGGGCTGGCCAGACACACCTGGATCGCTGGGCCCCCTGGTACTCACCCAAGGGCGCGCCTCTCCCTTCCCTGGGTCCCTGCCACTGCAGAGGCCGTGGGTCAGCATGTGGCCAGGGCTCCCGTGCCGGCCCAGCTGCTGGCCGACCATGTGCCCGTGGCGCCCTCCCCTCTCCGGGTCTGGCCTTGGCAAGACCACAAGCGAACTCTGTGCCTCTTAGCCCCCACCAGTCCCCGGCACCCAACCCTGAAGGCCACCTGCCTACCCCCAGGGACTTGAGGTCCCTTCCCAGGTGACTTCACCAGCACTGAGGCAGCACACAGTACTGAACTCAAGGCTAGACAAGTGGACGCACAGACAAATGGACACGACACGTGAAAACAGTGACCTTGAGGCCCCTGGCTGCTGGCAACAAGCTGGCACTTGGGGCTGCGGTGACGCCCACAGCGCTGCTGCCACCAGCTCCAGCAGGCGCCGGGAAGGTGACATTGCCCCCCAGGGCGCTCCTGTGGCTCGGGACGGGGAGGGAGAAGAGCACCTGGCCCTCCATGGAGGCCACGGCAGGTGGGGAAGGGCAGAGCGACGGTGCCACGTGAGCACTGTGAGGCTGGCAGGGCTGCCCCTCCCCCGGGGCGGGCAGATGCCCAGGAGTCGGAGCGGGTGGCCCATTCCCAACCTCCGGCTGGGCTGGCAACTTGCCTCTGGGAGCAGCGGTCGCCACACCTGAGGTGGGGCAATAACACGACCTTTGGCTGGGCAGAAAACAGAGGGCATGTGTCTGGCTCAGTGGCCCCTGCTCGGCAGACGCTCGTGAACCTTCCCTTCCCTGCCAGTGGGAGCTGCGGTCCCAGGATAGAGCATGAGCCCCTGGCAAGCCCCTCCTCCCCGCCTGCAGTCCCTCCGCCCTGACCTCCCAACGCTCGCAGGCGGGGTCAAGGCATGAGGGCAACAGGGGGACGGGTTCAGGTCCCCACAGGAAAGGCGGCCGGTCGGGTTGGTAAATTCAGAACGGGTCAGAAATGTACATTTAAAAAAGAAGCTATAAAAATACGAGATGAAAACGTGATTGAACTTTTCTACAGTCTGGGAGTGGGGGAAACTTTCCTGGCTGTGACTCCAAGACCAGAGGCAGAAGACAAATGATGGGTGACTCTGACATCATTTTCAAAATGGCGATGGTGATAACAATAATAAACACTGTTGTCTGGCACGAAAACAAGTAAATGAATAAGCAAAGCAAAAAAGACAAATGGGGAAAAAAGGACAAATGGGAAAAATGTTTGAGACTGATGTCAGAGGCGAAGACCACACCCCCGATCTCGGAGTTTCTGAGAGCAGACGAAAGGGACCCATGGCTACCAGAGGCGAGCGAGACCATGAATGGAAAGGTCGTATAAAAGGGAATGGGCCTGATCCTTCGACCCTGCCCAGGAGACGTGACCAGTTAAATGACACAAAGACACGCCTTCCCTATAGAATCAGCAAAAGCCACAAGCAGGGTGACACACCTGGTTAGGCGGCTGCGGGGTTCCCGTAGCAGAAACACGAAAGGCTCGCACCTGTGCAGACAACGGGGCGACCTGGACCCAGCACCACCTGGCCTGCTGCGCAGCTGTGTGCGCAGCCGCAGCCCCACTGAAGGGACTGGCCCTGAAGCGACACCGGCAGAACCCTCAAAGACGCGTGCACCAGGCCACCGAGCGCAGCAAGAACCAGAAGAAACGAAATCGATACCAAGAAAGGGCCAGTGAAGTGAGCTTCCGCACACCCACTCCAGACTGCTCCACAGCTGAGAAACACCAGGCCCGCCTCCCTGCCAGTGCGGGCAAGGGGGGTGGTGACCTCCACCCGCTGCTCAGGGAAAAGAGCAGGGAGGGAGGGGAAAAGGTGGAAGGGAGATGGATGCTGTGAGTGTCTGTCGGTTTCGAACGTCTGCCTGTGTTGGCTCACATTAAAACCAGGAGCAAGAGACACTGGAAAGAAACAGGACTGGGAACAATTCAGGAAAGAGACAGGACTGCCCCGGGAGCGGAGCGGGGAGGGCGCGGGGGGGGGGGAGCGGGGGACAGTGTGGGGGCAGAGTGTGGGAGGCTTCTGTGCAGGGCCAAACAGGCCACACCCGGTCACCGCTGCGTGTGTTACGGCCACTGAAAACCGCGAACCA